GAACAGGGAATGGTCAGTGGGAGAACAGGGAACGGTCAGTGGGAGAACAGGGAACGGTCAGTGGGAGAACAGGGAATGGTCAGTGGGAGAACAGGGAACGGTCAGTGGGGAGGACAGGGAATGGTCAGTGGGAGAACAGGGAATGGTCAGTGGGAGAACAGGGAACGGTCAGTGGGAGAACAGGGAATGGTCAGTGGGAGAACAGGGAATGGTAGTGGAGAACAGGGAATGGTCAGTGGGGAGGACAGGGAATGGTCAGTGGAGAACAGGGAATGGTCAGTGGGGAGGACAGGGAATGGTCAGTGGAGAACAGGGAATGGTCAGTGGGGAGGACAGGGAATGGTCAGTGGAGAACAGGGAATGGTCAGTGGGACAACAGGGAACTGTCACTGCTGGGTGTCCCCAGCACAGGGAGCTGGGCTGGCACTGCTCTGCTGTGCCCAGGGGGTGTGGGGACCTCCCCAGGCTTGTGCCACATCACAGGGAGGCTGTGCCCATGGAATTACCCTGCTCTGGGACATGGATAGTGTCTGCTGAGCTGCTGGGATCTCTCAGCACTTACACCATGTGTATGTTCTTTGTGCCTTCCAGGGGCAGGAGCTCTCACAGCAGGGTCACAGCCCAAGTCTGTGACACATGTTTTTAAGCAAACTCTGTGCTAAGGCTTTGGCTTTCAGTGGAAGGTTCCAGACAGCTGGAGACCAGCTGAGCACCCAGCTGAGCACTGCCTGGAGAGCCTGGGGGCTGAGAGGAGCCAGGGAGGCACAAAAGCCAAGGAGGAAAAGGGAGAGGAGGGCAGAACAAAGGGGAGCCAGTTCAGCTCCTCAGGCCAGTGCTGCAGACGGGCCCACAGGGAACCTACAGCAACATTAAAGGGCTTTTGTTTACTTTCATCCATGAACACAAAAATTTGATTTACTGTTCCCCAATACCAGGAGACCAAAGTGTCCCTGCACTGGACACTGTGGGAGCCACAGCCCCATCTTGCTCCTGTGTTATGGGAGGTTTGGTGTTGCCTCTTACCACTACAGCAGCAAGTTACTCTGGGTTTACACACTGCTCAGGTGCACCTGCTCGTTATTCACCCCCATGGCAGACTTCGTAAGGGGTATTTAACAACAAAAATCCTTTAAACTCACATTCTTGTAGCTGTGTAAGACAGAGGGAATTGAAATCAGGCTTACACATGTCCTGCCCAGCCCTCCTCCTCTGGCTTGGAGACCCAAGAGCATGAGTTCTGTCTTTGCTAACTTCTAACTTCCCTAACTACTGAAATCCAGTGGTTCCTGTGACTGCAAGAACTGAAAACTGCTCTGACTGCAGAGAAAATGCTCATTTTCTGGGAGCACAGGGTCTGGATTTGGACACTGTGCTCTGGCAGTGGCCTCATGGCTTCAGCCTGGCTCTGAAGCTCCTGGAAGAAGCTCCTTGTATCCCCACCTCTGCACAGGGAACTCAACTCACACTCAGAAATTAGGGAAAAGAGTGAAGGATGGCAGAGATGAATCAAAGTCCCTCTTCACAGTGTTTCACTGACTGCTTTTGCTGCTGTGTTCCCATCCCCAGCACACCTGGATATGCATGTTACAGAGCAGGAAACGTAAGGGAACTTCAATCTGAAGATACCTGAGCCTGTAACTTCACGGGCTGAAGCTGCCCTGCTCCCTCCCAGCCTCACACAGCCCAGGAGGGAGCAGCCAGCTGGACTGGGGAACTGATCCACTTCAAACAGAAGTAGAGCCCTACTTTCAAAAGGGTATTTAAGAATATTGTATGTACTTTATGTATGACAGACACATTCTATGCTTAAAAAAGCATTTAGCTTACACAGAGCCACAGAATGTGCTGAGTTAGAAGGAACCACAGGGATCATCAAGTCCAATCCTGGCCCTGCACAGGACCATCCCAAGAGTCACACCCTGTGCCCCAGAGGATCATCCAAACCCTCCTGGAGCTCTGGCAGCCTTGGTGCTGTGCCCACTGCCCTGGGGAGCCTGGGCAGTGCCCAACCACCCTCTGGGGGAAGAACCTTTTCCTGAGATCCAACCTAACCCTGCCCTGACACAGCTCCAGCTGTTCCCTGGCTGCTGTCCCTGGTCCCCCCAGAGCAGAGCTCAGCCCCTGCCCCTCCTCTGCCCCTCCCCAGGCAGCTGGAACTGCAGTGAGGTCTCCCCTCAGTCTCCACTTCTCCAGCTGAACACACCAAGTGCCCTCAGTGTCCTCAAGGGCTTCCCCTCAGGGCCCTTCACCATCTTCGTTGCCTTCCTTTAGACACTCTCTAATGACTTCAGATCTTTCCTATATTGTGGTGCCCCAAACTGCCCCAATATTGCAGGTGAGCAGAGCGGGACAATCACATTGAATATTCCTAAATCTCTCGTGCTTTGGGCCAGTTCTGCTGCTCAGTTACAGAGACCCTGAGCCAGTGTCAGGCAGAGACCTTGCCTGTGCCAGGCAGAAGAGCCCTCCCCCCGAGCCCCAGCCCGTCCTACCTGCCCGTCGGAGTCGTACCCCCAGCCGCGTGTGCCGGCCCTGCCGTCGGCCTCTCGCCGCACCCCGCTCAGGACGAAGTGCCAGGCGCGGCTGCTGCGCGGGCGCCGTGCCATGGTGCTGCCAGACAGGTAGGCTGGGGAGAGGGACAGGGTCACACAGGGCTGCCAGTCCCACGGCCACCCCTAGGCTGTGCCACCCCCGTCACCAGCCACATCTGCACGGCCTCAGCTGATCCAAAGGAGGCTCCGGCCCCACCAAGAGCCTCTGCAAACCTCAGCCTGCTGCTCTGGGCAGGGTCAACTTCCCCCTCCCCCGAGTGTTCAAATGGCCCCCCCAGAAACGCTCCCGAGAGCCGGCAGTGGCAGCAGCTGCCCCTCTGCAGGGCGTGGATCCGGCACCCATGGATCCAGCTCCCCCTCTCCTGGGGAGCCTCAGGGATGTCAGAACCACAGAAGGGTTTGGGTTGGAGGGACCGTAAAGCTCATCTCGTTCCACCCCCTGCCATGGGCAGGGGCACCTTCCATCGGAGCAGGCTGCTCCATGACACAGCCTGTGACCCTCCTGGCTCTGTGCCCCTGCACTGCCCCGGCCCCCCACAGCCCCCGTGTGGGTCTGTCTGCAGGAAGTGTTTGTCCGCCTGCAGCTGGGGAGGGAACACTCTGCTCTCAGCGTTTCGGGCAGGGGAGAAACCACTTTCCTTCTCACTGGAGGGAACCCAGCCTTGTCACAGACCTGTCCAGACTTGCCTCAAGGGAACAGACAGAAGGGAAGATGCTGATCAGATTTCCAAAGGCCCTTTCCCTGTGCACATCCTGACAGCTCACACCAGTCCCAGCCACCACACAGGAGCACTGCCCTGGATATGACAGGGAAACCTCAGCTTCCAATCTCATTTCCCTGAAGTTTATCTTTGCAGGGATCAACTCCCCACCAAGAGGCACCCAGGGGTGTAACCCCCCATCCATCCCCTGAACCTGCTCCCTCGGCTCAGCCCCTGGGGCTGCAGATCCTGTGGACCTGCAGTGGGTCAGCCCCGAGCCAGGGCTGCCATAAAGCTCCTGTCCCTGCTCTTCCTGCGCCTCAGTCCTGACTTGGGCCAACAGCTCCTGGAAAAGCAGGACAGGCCGAGCCATGGCCAGTTGTGCAGGTGCCCTTGGATGCTCTGAAGGGCCCTGGGCATCCCACCTGCCGAAATCAGAGGGCTTACACCCCTGCCAAGCACAGCCATGGGGGAAGCACCTACAACCACACCAGAAACTCTCTCCAGCTCTGAACAGCACCCACGGCAGCCCAACAGCACACTCTGCTCCCCCAGCCCCTTGCTAAGGTTGAGGCTCCCTGACAGGGCCTGACCACTCTTTCAGGGAAGAAATTTTCCAAATATTCATCTAAACCTCCTCTGACATAGCTTGAGGCTGTTCCCTCTCCTGTCCCTTGTTCCCTGCAAGCAGAGCCCGACCCCTCCCCCGGTTCCCCCCTCCTGTCAGGGAGTTGCAGAGCCAGAAGGTCCCCCCTGAGCCTCCTTTTCTCCAGGCTGAGCCCCCCCAGCTCCCTCAGCTGCTCCTGCTGCTCCAGCCCCTTCCCCAGCTCCGTTTCCCTCTCTGGACACGCTCCAGCCCCTCCATGGCTTTCTTGTTATGAGGGGCCCAGCACTGCCCCCAGGACTGGAGGTGCCTCAGCAGTGCCAGCACAGGGACGGGCACTGCCCTGGGCCTGCTGCCGCAACAGCGCCAATACAAAACACCCCTCACCCCTGAGGGGCCCCGGGCCCGCCGAGGCCTCTCCGTGGGCCGGAACCGGGACCGCACGGCGCCCGCTCCCCGCCCAGCGCTTCCCCACGCCCGGCCCGGCCCCCTGACCGCGGGGCAGCCGCTCCGCTGGGGGCGGCACCGTAGCCTGGACTGTGCCGGCACCTGAGGCGCGGCCGGGCCGGGCCAGGCCAGGCCACCGCGCTCGGGCCGCACAGCCCCGGCCTGGCCTGGGCCCAACCCCGGCCCTCGGCTCCCCCCCGGCCCCGATCCCCGACCTCGACCCTCTATCCCAGCCGCGATCCCGACCCCGATCCCCAATCGCCAATCCCCGATCCCAATCCCGATCCCCGCTCACCCTCCCGGCCGGTCCCGGCGCCGCTCTGACCCACTTTCTCCTCTCGGGACATAAACAATCCCCTCCCGGCACCGCCCCCCCGGCGCCCATTGGCTGCGGCCGCGCCGCACCCCTCTGCCATTAGCTGAGCGCCCCGTCACTCACAACCGGAGGAGGAAAGAGGGGCGGTGTCTGAGGGGAGTCCCACACTATTGGCTGTGCTGCGTGTCAATCATCAGCGAGCAGCACCATTGGGAGGCCACCAGCGACGGAAAGCACTAAGCCCATTGGCTGGCGGAGGAGGAGACAGAGAGCTGGATTGGCTGCGAAGCTCTGGGGGCGGGTTCACCGGTGAGAGCGAGATCTGCGATTGGGCACAGAGCCTGCCAATCTGAGGGGGCGGAGCTTGGGGCCGGCGGAAGGCGGAAGCGGGCGGGGCGGGTCGGCGGCATGGACGGGCCGGGCGGTGAGCGGGGCCCGGGGGTGAACGGGAGCAGGGAGGGAACCGGCACCGCGGGGCAGAACCGGCCCTCGGCAGGGAGCGGGGCCCCGGGGGTCCAGGCCTTGCGGGGGCTGACCGGGCCCAACGCGGGGTCAGGACCCGCTCCCGGGGACCTCCGCGGTGCTCGGGCCGGGCCGATGCCGCAGTGCTGGGCTCGGGTCCCGGTGCCAGGAGCCCCGACCAGGGCCTCGCCGGGGGCCCTAGCCCGGCTCCCGCTGGGGCGGCGCCGAGGAACTACAGAGTAACCGCTGCTGCTGGCAGCTCTGGGATGCCGAGAGCGCCGCGGGGCCCCGGCCCCTCCCCGGCCCCCTTTTCCCCCCTCCCCGTCCTGGCCCCAGGGCCGTTACCGTCGGCGGAGGCGCGGATGAGCTCGGCCATGGTGCGGGCGGGCTCCATGCCCCGGGCCCGGCGCGGGCAGTCGGTGCCGGTGGGACGCGGGCCCGTGGGTTGGTGGCGTTGCTCGGCGGTGGCGGGAGCCCTGGTTCGACCTCCTGCCCCGAGCGCTGCCCGTCCCGGCCTCACGCTGGTTGGACGCGGGGTCTGAGCCCAAAGCGGAGCCCCGGGAGCTCTGACAGCACACAGGGAACGGCTGGGAGGCAGGACAGGAGCGTGGGACTGGCAGGAAGCGACTGGTGTGACACTAGAGGAAGGAAACGCCAAGGGCCTGAGCTCACCCCGGCCCAGGGCCGAGCCTGACCAGCCCCCGGCGGTGTTTAGTGCTTTGCTGCCCAGATGCCGCTGAGGTCATCCGGACAAGCCGATTCCTCATGGAATATTTACTGCCACTGTCTTATTGTCCCTTTTCTAATGGCAGAAGGGCTGTGGCATATACAGCTCTTCTTTCCCTCTCCCTTACACTGAGAGCAGAGCTCAGGAGGGCTGCATCTTCCCCAGAGGGGCAGCACCGACCTCTGTTCTGTGTGACATGGGAATGGCTGGAGCTGTGTCAGGGCAGGGTCAGGTTGGATCTCAGGAAAAGGTTCTTCCCCCAGAGGGTGGTTGGGCACTGACCAGGCTCCCCAGGGCAGTGGGCACAGCCCCAAGGCTGCCAGAGCTCCAGGAGTATTTGAACAACGCTCCTGGGGACAGGGTGGGACTGTTGGGGTGTCTGCAGGACCAGGTACTGGACTGGATGATCCTTGTGGGTCCCTCCAGCTCAGGATATTCCATGATTGCATGATACACTTAAAGCAGACTTGCTGGGGCAGTGACAGCCACTGTCACCTCAGCAGAGCCTGTGGCAGGGGCTGCTGTCTCTCAGCAGAAGAAACTCTGATGCCTCCTTGTCTTTCCTCCCAGAGAGAAGCACCAACCTGCTGGGGGTGAGGCACATCCTGCTGGTGCTGTCGGGGAAGGGCGGCGTGGGCAAGAGCACCCTGAGCACCGAGCTGGCCCTGGCACTGCGGCACCGCGGGCACAGGGTGAGTGGGGTGGGGGAGCTCTGCCTTCCCCTTCCCAGCCTCCAGCTGGGCTGGACTGGGCTCTGCTTGTGGTGTGTGTGTCCTGTGTGGGCTGCCTGTGCGTTTTCTGTTTGTGAGAGTGCTTCGAGTGATTCTTCTGTGTTTGCCGGTAACTGGGTCAGGTAAGTGAGTTCATTTCTCTTTTACCCAAGAGACTAAAATCACCCAGTATTTACTGTTGGGTTTGAAGCTGAGGCACTGAGAGATTACATTGCTGGTTTGTAGTGTTAACACCCACTCCCTCTTGGGGGGTGAAGTGGGTGAGCTGAAGGACACTGTGACAATGGGGACAAAAGGGAACTGTGTGTGCAGGAGACAGGCTGAATTCCCTGAGGGTCTTTTTAAAGGCTCTGTGCAGCCAATGCCACTTGGATTCCGGCATAAAGTGCTTGGAAACACCCAGGAGATGCTCCTGGGGGGAAGGACACCGGGAGTGCAGTCAGATCTAAAGCAGTTCTTTGAAACTGTGTTTCAGATCTGGCTGTGAGCAGCCCAGCTTTGGGGGCTGCCTCCCCCTGCCAGGGAAGGAGCCTGGGAGCTCTGAACCCGCCCTGGCTGAAGGGCTGTGCTGGTCCCACAGGTGGGGATCCTGGACGTGGACCTGTGTGGGCCCAGCATCCCCCGCATGCTGAGGGTGCAGGACAGGGCTGTGCACCAGTGTGACAGTGGCTGGGTGCCCGTGTTCGTGGGCCAGGACAGGGCTGTCGCCCTCATGTCCATCGGCTTCCTGCTGGAGCGGCCGGACGACGCCGTGGTGTGGAGAGGACCCAAGAAAAACGGTAATGGTGGGGTTTGGGGCTGGGGAAACCTTCCCTGAAACCTTCTGTGAACCCTCCTGGAGGTGCTGATGCCTCCTGGTCGTGTCATTCCTTGTGGCAATGAGGCTCCTGTTCTGCAGGAGTGGGTTCAGCTCACTCGGATGGGGAGAGTGCAGCGTGTGTTGTGCTGACAGATCACCCTGCCCCCCTCCCTGTGTCCTTGTCACCCAGGGTGCTTCCCAAGCCCTGTCCCATGGCTCCCAGGGCACCTGTTGTGTGGGTTTTTATCTGCCCCTTTTATTTCATAGCTTTGATCAAACAGTTTGTCACCGATGTGGCCTGGGGGGACCTGGATTTCCTCATCGTGGACACCCCGCCGGGCACCTCTGACGAGCACATCTCCACCGTGGAGGCCTTGAGGCCCCACAGGCTGCTTGGAGCAATCCTGGTCACAACACCCCAGGTAGGACAGGGGGCTGGAGTTCCTGAGCGGGCACCTGCCTCTGGGAGTGGTTTGGGGGGGAATATACCCCCCAGGTGGGTGTTTGCACAGCCGGTGGCTACACATCCACCTCCCACTTGGTTTCCACTGCTCTGGACCCCCAGCTGTGGTGGACAGAGGGCCACCCCCGTTCCCGTTGCTCCCCCAGGCCGTGTCCGTGGGGGATGTGAGGCGGGAGCTGACGTTCTGTAAGAAGACGGGGCTGCGGGTCCTGGGCGTCGTGGAGAACATGAGCGGCTTCGTGTGCCCCCACTGCTCCGTGAGCTTCCTCACCTTACTGGGACCCTGGGCTGCTGGGGCCCTTCCTTGGGGTGGGGTGTCCTGGCAAATGCCATGAGGGTGATGCTGTGAGCCAGGGAGGGGAGGTGCTGCCAGGTCTGTGTGCCAGCTTTGGGAAAAGCCACTGGCTCTGCTCTCCTGAGGAGAACTGGCACAGGCCCTGAGGGTGGAGGGTGGGGAGGAGCTGGCTCTGCTCAGGTGATGCAGCACCTCCTCTGTCACACAGGGCTCTGGAATTCATGACTCCCTGCTGTTCTTCCTCCTCCAGGAGTGCACAAACATCTTCTCCAAAGGCGGAGGGGAGGAGCTGGCCAAGCACGCTGGGGTGCCCTTCCTGGGTGAGTGGCCTCTGGAGCAGAGCTCTGCTCAGGGGTGGTCTGGTGATGCTGTGGGATGGTGGAGTGCAGAGAAGCAGCATCCTGGGGCAGGTGGGCTGGACTCCAGTCCCCATGAGCCCCAGGCAGAGCTGGGGTGTGGGTCGTGCTTTGCTCCTCTGCCATCCAAACTGCTCCCTGTGGGCACCTGGCTGGGGCAGAGGGGGTGGTGCCAGCAGCCTACTCTGACTGCTGACGTCATGGTGACAGGGTAAACAAGCTTGGAGCTGCCCAAGAACCATGTTGGGGTGTCCTGGAGCCTCCCTGAGAAATGGGGGCTGAGGGCTGAACCCTGCCCCTGGAAGGGCTGGGATCAGGGGGGAAAGCACCTCTCCTGAAGCACTGGGGTGTGGTGGGGTCTTGGACCCAGAGGAAGCAGTTGCAGGTGACAATTAGCTCCTGGAGAGCTCTTTCCTACTGATTCTCCTGGAGTTGACTCTGGCAGTGTGTTTCTTTAACCCTGACTCCAGACCTTTGCCATACAAGGAGCAAGCACTCACTCTCCCACTCCTATCCCACAGGCTGTGTTCCCCTGGACCCCCAGCTCAGCCAGAGCTTGGAAGAAGGCAGAGACTTCATCCAAGAGTTTCCCAAAAGTTCTGCCTTCCCTGCCTTGGCTCACATCGCCCAGCAGATCTTGGATACATCACAGCAGAGCTCCTGAGAAGGTTGTGGAGCTGAACTGTTTCTGGCTGAGCCCTGGGCCAGCTGGAACGGGGGATGCAGGAGCTGGTTAAGGCTGAAACTGCCTCACTGAGGGCTGAGGGAGGGAGGGGAAGCACAGGTTCCTGCTGTTCATGGCAGTTCCAAAAGGGAAGTACTGCTCCATCCCCCTGGATCCAAAGAGACTCTGGAGCTGCAGTGGCAAGTGGCTGTTCTTCCCTCAGTGAGCCCACATGACACCGATGATCCAGATCGTGGCTCCGTGTGCTGCTGCCTCCCCCTGCTCTCCCCATGGGATGGATTCCACAGTACTTGGTTCAGTGATGGATTACAGGTTCTTGGTTCAGTGCCTGAGTCATGCTGGATGCTCCATGTGGACCCAAGCCAGGCCCCTGTGCTCGCTGGTTCGTGATGAGGGCACGGCGTGTGCTACACGCGAGGGAACGTCTCCAGGAGCTCTCCCACCTGTGAGATCTGCATCCCATCATGCTGGAAACAAGGCCTTGGGTCTGTTGGGGGTTATATGGCTCAGGAATATCTTTGAAGATTCCAGGCAGTAAACACTTTTCTTAAATCCAAGTCTGTGACTCCTGCTTTTCCATGGCTTCAGACCTCACTGTAGGTCTGAGTCTTGGCATTGCAAACACTTCATGTACATCCAGGTACTTCCTGCTTTTCCCTGGTTTTCTTGCTGGAATTCAGCTAAATCCCTTCTTCTGTAACAGCTTCAGGATCCAGCCTGTCCCTTGTCTCGCTGTGGGCTGGCCCTGGCAGTCCTTGGGATCATTTGCCATGGGTGTTCTCCACCCCCTGCCACACGTGGGGCTCCTCCGTGTCCCCAGGTGGTTTCTGCTTCATTGCTCCGAGCGTCCTGTTCCCTGGACTTCTTTCCATGGGCTGCTGTTCCCCTGGGACCTGCCCTCCTCATGCAGGCTTGAGTTAAGCTGGGGAACCAAATGGAAGTGGTGGCCTTGCATCTTATCTCCCTCTCTTCTGGACTCTGAGCCCCTCCTGCCTGCCTCCCTCTCCATGTCTGGGACTCGCCCTCACAGTGACGTCCCAGGAAGACAGGGAAATGTTGTATTCCCACTAACCAGACTGGATCATAGCAGGCAGCCATTGCTTGGAGGAGAGCAGGAGCACCATCCCCCCCTGCTCCCACTGTGCCTGTGGGACCTGCACCTGACCAGGTTTCCCCATGTGCAATTTTCCAGGAAAATTTTACCTGACCTTTGAACGCTTCTCTGGGATTTGAAGAGCCAGGAGCAGTGCTGGAGTCTGACAGGGCTGTTGGCTTCTGGGGGATGGCCAGGCACCTCTTGCTCCCTCTCTGGGCGTGTGTCACCCACCCAGAGCTTGTGGGAAATGCTGTGAGCTCCTGACCCCACCCAGGATCTGCCCCCCTCACCCTGAGCGGGCTCTGGGGAGAAACCCCAGCTGGGGGTCACGAGCTGTGGAACAAACGACCTTCCAAGAGGGGTTGCAATAGCTCCAAAGGTTTATTTGTCTGCTGCCATTTATCAGGTGAGTGACGTGTGGCTCTCTGCTGCTGCAAGGAATCATTCAAGCAAGTCCTCTGCCCCCTTCCCTGAGCTTGGAGGGGCTTTTAGGATTTCTCCACAGCTCCGTGGCAGGAAGATGCTTTGTTTTGTCCCACACAAGTTCTGGCTTGGGCAGGGATGCCCCTTGTGGGACGGGGCAGCATTCCCCCATCCTGGAGGCTTAGAGATGTTCCCACTGGGAACAACTGGGGGCTGCTATTTAAATATTAAAGGGCTGAAATATTCAGTTTGAAGCCCAGGAGCTGCTGCCCATCCAGCATTGCCTGGGCTTGACTCTCCTTGTGGTGGCAGCTGGAGGTGGTGGCAAAGCTGGGCTTGTCTGGGGTGGCCACAGAGCCCCAGCTCCTGCTGCTGCCCCGGGACAGGGCAGGGAGGTGGCAAGGGAGGATCCCCCATCGGAACGGCTCATCCCCTGGGAGGGGCCAGCCCAGCTCAGCAGAGAGCAAAGCTCTCCTCGGTGGTGTCCCGCAGGTCCAGCCCTGCCAGGGCCGGGGGGTGCAGGCAGGTGAGGTTGTTGTAGGTGTACACGGGCTCCTGGGTGTCGTCCCCCTCGGCCACCGACTGCACGAAGCGCGGCACCACCGCCGGGTGCTGCAGGGAGAAGTCCCGCAGCCCCTGCAGGGAGCAGTTGCAGTGCCAGTTGTTGCCCCCCAGCCACAGCTGCTCCAGGGTGAAGGGGGGGCACAGGAAGCCCACAGAGAAGGTCTCCAGGGAGTTGTTCCTCAGGCTGAGGTACCGCAGGTTGGCCAGGGGGGAGATGACGGCGTTGTCCAGTGTCTGCAGCTGGTTGTGGGAAAGGTCAAGCCAGAAGAGTCTCTGGAGCGGGCTGAAGGTGTCCTGGGAGATCTCCAGGAGCTGGTTGGAGGACAGGAAGAGGTACTCCAGGTTGCTCAGACCCACGAAGAGCCGGGGCGAGAGGTGGCTCAGCCTGTTGTGCTTCAGGTCGAGCTCCAGGAGCTCGTGCAGTTCACTGAAGCTCTGGTCCTCGATGAGGGAGATGCTGTTGTGCTGCAGGAAGAGCCGCCTGAGGCTGGACAGCCCGGAGAAGGTGTTTGCTCGGATCCTGCCCATGCAGCTGTGCTCCAGGTGGAGGCTGTGCAGCTTGGTGACCCCCTTGAAGACAAAGTCAGGGAGGACCTTGATGCAGTTGTCAGACAAGTGCATGACTGCCACATTGTACAGCCCCAGGAAGGCCCCAGCCCTGATGTCCTGCAGCTGGTTGTTGTTGAGGCTGAGAACCTCCAGCTGCCCCAGCCCCTCAAAGGTCCTTTCCACCAGGCTCCGGATCCTGTTGTGCCCCAGCTGCAGCTCCTCCAGGAACTGGAGGTCTTTGAAGGTCCTGGGCCTCAGGCTGGTGATGGAGTTGGTGGACAGGCGGAGGACGTGCAGGCTCAGGAGGCCCAGGAAGGTGTCCTCGTACAGCGAGACGAGGCGGTTGTGGGACAGGTCCAGCCACCGCAGGGCCTTCATGCCCATGAAGGCGCGGGGGGCGATGGCGTTGATCTGGTTGTGGTTCAGGTACAGCTTCTGCAGCTTCTGCAGCTTGACAAAGATGTTGATCTTGATGCCCTTGAGCGCGTTCCCGCTCAGGTCCAGCTCCTTCAGCTCGGTGAGGCTGCAGAAGAGCTGGTGCTGGAGGTAGGGGAGCTTGTTCCCGGCCAGGATCAGCTCCCTCAAGTTGGGCAAGTCATGGAACACCTTGTCAGGCAGGACCACCAGCGAGTTCCAGCCCAGGTTCAGGTACCAGAGGTTGGAGAGCCCCGCAAACAGCCCTTCCTCCACCTTGCTGAAGTGGTTGTTGTTGAGGCTGAGGGAGACGAGGTTCTGGGTGTGCAGGAAGGTGTGCGGGGCCAGGTGCCGCAGGCGGTTGCGCTCCAGGTGCAGGTGGTAGAGGCTCCTCAGCCCGTGGAAGGCGTGCTGCTCCACGCCGGCCAGCTGGCTGCTCTGCAGGTCCAGGAAGTCCAGGGCTGACAGGTTCCTGAAGGCAGCAGCCGGCAGGAGGGTGAAGTTGTTGCCGTCCAGCCACAGGGCCTTGGCGTTGGGGGGCACATCCTCGGGCAGGCGCGTCAGGTTGCGGGCGCTGCAGAACACGTTGAGCTCCTCGCTGTAGTCGTCCAGGCTGCAGGCACAGGGGCTGGGGCAGCGGGGCGGGTCCGTGTCCCCCTGCTCCTTCGGGGGGTCCCCCCCGGGGGGCTGGGAGGCTGCGGCCAGCAGCAGGGCCAGGGGGAGCAGGAGGGGGATGCCTGCTGTGGGGTGTGAGGAAAGGGGCCTCGGTCAGTGTGGGGACACGGCTGCTCCAGGGGACCCCTTTGGGACCCCCCTGCCGGCTGCCTGCACTGCTGGAGTTGGGGGTGGAGGGGTCAGTCCCAGCCCTTTGCACACGCAGGGCAGCTGCGGCAGTTTGCAGAGGTTGGATCCCTTGGGAGAGGGTGTGGGATCACCCCCCACTCCTGCCACGGCTCAGACTCCTCAGAGTTCGAGCATGGACCCCCCAGAACTCATCTCTATATTGCAGTGGCTGCAGCAGCTTCTGCCTTTCATGGGGAAAGGCCCCCCAGTACCCTCTCCTCCTTCCTCCCCAGCTGCCTCCCCTTAACTTGCTGTTCCTTGGAGCCAGGGGGTCTCTGTGCTGCAGTCCCTGCCCACCCCTGCAGCCCCCAGCCAGGTTTGTGCTCTGCCCTACAGTGCCTGCAAGCCCCCCCAGGCAGCTCGGGGGCCCCCAGAATGTATAATCAGCAGCGGAGGAGGAGAAGAGCGAAGGGTGACTGAAGCCCCAGCAGAGTTTGAGGGTGTCCCCCCAGCCCAAGCCCGGCCCAGGGGCAGGTTCCCCAGCCTCACCTTTGCCTGCGCTCATGGCGACGGGCAGGGCAGCTCCTGCTCCCGCTCCCGCTCCGCTCTCGGCCCCGCTGCCTGCAGGGATGGATGGAGCAACCACCTTGACGCCTGTCCAGCCGCCCGCCCGGCTGGGCTTAACCCCACTGCTGCTGGGCCGGGCTTAACCCCACTGCTGCTGGGCCGGGCTGGGCTGAGCCCCCGGGACAGCCTGGCCGGCGTTACTGGCACCGGGATGGGCTCCTCGCTGCTCCCCCTGGTCTGTAACTGCCTTCAGGGCAGCCCGGGAAAAGGGGGTGGAGTGAGATATCCAGGAGTCTGATGGAATGATGGGGATCCTGCCAGAGATGGGGTTTGAGTGGGCAGTGAGGGTGGAGGGAGGGATGGGGCAACCTCACAGGGTGTCCCATGACCCTGTCCTGAGCTCCTGGAGGGTCCTGAACACTGACCCTTCCTTGGGTGCCTGCCCTCCTCTGCCAGGGATACCCTGAGATAAGCCCTGGCAGTGGGTCCTCATGCTGCATCAGGACCCAATCTCCCACTGGTGAAATGGTGGCTGTGAGGGTCCCCTGGACAGTGGGGTGATGTGGTTGGTGCTCCAGGGCTGACAGATCACACGCTGCCCCTGGCAGCTCCTCAAAACCACGCTGGGGAGGCTGGTGACCTCATCCTGTGTCCCTGGGCATTTCCCCACCAGCCTCCAACACAGGTTCTGTGGAATCTTTTACCACTTTCCAGGGCAGAAAGAGAAAGCCCCAGCGAGAGGAGCCTTGTGGCCAGTGGCTGCTGAATGGAAAAGCCACAGCCAACCCTTCCCCATGTCCTGGTAGCCCTGTTCTTCCCTGAAGATGAAGCTTGGCATCATTCACATCATTCACCTCCAGGAAGAGGTGTCTCCCACCAGTGTTGTTCTTCCCAGCCCTGGTTCCCCCCCCTGCTGCAAGTGGAGCAGGGATCCTCTCCACCACTGTCCATCAGAGCCTGGCATCTCCCCCAGCTCCAGTTCCCGCCAGGCTGCTTTGGGAGGTGGAGATGGAACAGGGAAGCTGTCCACCACCAGTCCCACACCATGGGTGTCCCCACCATGCCCATTCCCACGGGAGCCTGACATGTCCCCCCAGCTCCACAGGCCACATCTCAGCTCTTCATCACTGAACTCGAGCAGTTCCATGACCATGGGAGACATCCAGGCTCCAGCCTTGCAACACAACTTTCCCACAGGCACTGCTTTCTCCCTTCCCTTTTGGCCCTGAGTGCCATTCTCCTCCCCCTCTATTTTAATCCTCTCTTCTGGGAATTTATAGATCAGAAGGGAGAAACACGGGATGGGGGTACACACACCCACTAATAGGCACTGAGCACATATTGACACAAGGTGTAATCAATCTGGAAGCTAAAAAGAGCTGAGCCAGCACAGCTCAGCCAGCCAAAACCCACAAACCTCTTTGGGAAGTTTAAATGAGCCCTGCCTGTGGCTGGGAGCAGGTTTATCCCTGCCTTCAGCAGCCCATTCTGGGAAAATGTCAAATGAGATGTGATGGGAGAGTAAAGAGAGTCAATAAGCAAATCCCTTCCCAGTGTGGCTGCGGTGCAGGGAGGAGCTGGACCCATCTCCACCTTTAAAGGTCCTTGAAGCATCTCTTCTAGACCTGTCTCCACCTTTAAACCTCCCTGAGGGCATCTCCTCCAGATGTGTCCCATCACCTGTGGCTGGAACCCCGTGAATGTTGATCCCTTCAGCATCACCATGAGCCCACCTTGAACACCTGGGCCTCCACCTGCCCAGTGTGCCACGGCTCCACAGCCACCCTGGGGACCTCATTTAGGTCCCCACCGTGTCCCTGGCCACTGTGGACCTCCCCACTTGATCCCCCCATCTCTTCAGCTTTGACAGATAATCTCCCTGGTTGGGACCAAAGTCTGAGCCGCCTCCCCTGGTTGCCATGGAGAAGGCTGTAATGGTATTAGGAAAAGCAGCAAAATCATAAAAAAGTAGTTTTCAAACCTATTTAAACTCTAAGGAATCATTTACCTTCCCCAGCAGCCCTCCCGTGCCTGCAGGTCCCTCCCCAGGGAGCTTCCCAGTTCCCTGTGTGTGGGAAATGCCACCAGCTGCCCCTGGCTCCCTGTTCTGGCTGAACTGGGGAGGGACTGGTGCTGGTGGCCCTGCCAGGTCTGCTGTGGGACCCCAGGAGCTCTCTGGTCCATCCCCACCCACCAGGGTGAGTGACCAGGGACAGCTCTGGACACCAGCAGGGACAGCACCAAGCCAGGCTGAGCCCTGAGGGGAGGAGGGATGTGACACACGTGGTGTTGTCACAGCTGAGTTAGGGAGTATTTTTAGCAAATTTTTCCAAATATTGTCGCTGTCTGGAGGAGACCATCTCTCATTGCCAGGGCAACCAGCACTGCTGCTCCTCATCCCCAGCCAAAACCGTGCCAGCCCTGATGCTGCTGCTTGAGAGCTGGGATGGGTGACACCAGCACCCCAGAGCTTGTGCCACTCCCGGGGACACCAGCAGGGACCAGGCCCCAGGAGTGGGGCTTGGCCTGGTGCTCAGTGGCCACCCACCTTTCTGGCCACCCTGGTCCCCGTCACTGGAGATGGGGACCTGGGAGTGGGGGCACAGGGGCCTGGCAGCTGTTGGCAAAGGTCCCCATGGGCATCACCAAGTGTCAGTTCCTGCCCTGCCACGGGTGCTGGGAAAGTTGGGAAAGGTGCCGGATGCGCCAGAGGCTCTCGGGGAAGCCAATTACAGCCCTGGTGGCCACGTGAAACCTCACCACCAGCCCAGCCTGGCTGGACTGGTTGGACTGGGAGAGGTGAGGACATCCCCAAGGCATGACTCAGGGTGGCCAGGCTGTTGCTGGAGACACAGATGGGAAAATTCCCAAACACTGAGGTTTGGGGAAAAGAAGAAGCCCGGGGAGCGGGAGGTTGGAGATGTGTGGGGACAGGAGAGCCTGTCCCAGCAGTGGCTGCCAGGTCAAAGCTGGATTTGGGGAGTGAACAGAGGGATGGGAGGCAGCCACCTTGGCTAACTCACCTTGATGACAGTGCTGGTGTGCCAGGAAGGGGGGAGGGGTCCGTGTCCCAGGTCAGCTCTCCAGACCTGGTGGGTTCTATGCCAGCCCTACAGCAGCTGCTGGGTGGAGGGGTCAGCCTGGTCCTCGGGGTGCCTGGCTGGGGAGAATGGGCCACGCACCCTCCCCCTGCCTGGGATTGCATGGCCACAACCCCCCCACTGCCTCCTGTCACCTCCGTGCCTGCCCCATCCCAGCCCTCCTTCTCAGCCCCGTGGGGAAGCACCTGGAGATGCCAGGGGGGTGACAAAAGGGACATGAGGCAGCAGTGGGTGCTGGCAGCCCATCAAACCCAGCACCTCCTGGCTGCAGCACAAGCAGTTTGTTCAGCAGGGCCAAGGAGATGATTCTCCCTCCTGATGCCCCTGGAACTCACACCCATCCAGCGCCGGGATCCCAGCACAGGGCAGACCCCGATGGGTCAGAGCAGGTCCGGGGGGGACCATGGGAAGGGAGAGCTGAGAGAGCTGCTCCAGCTCCCTCCTCTTCCTTCCCCAGGCTGGGATGGCTGGGGCTGTCCAGCTGGAGAAGACCTTGTGGCAGCCTGGCAATACATGAGGGGCCTTGGAAGAGCAATGGAGAGAAGCTTTTCCTCAAGAGCCGTCAAGACAGGAGAAGGGGTGATGGCTTTAAACTGGGAGACAGTGGATTTAGATCGGATATAAAAAGAAAATGGGTTGGGGGGGATCAGTGGGAGCCTGGCCTGGGGGTGCCACGGCTGGGCACCTCTGTGCCTCCAGGCGGGTGACACTGTGGGCTGCTCCCACCACACCGGGCATTCCCGGTGCTCCACCCGCCTCCCAGCAGGGATCCGCTGCATCCAGGAGCGAACGCAAATTCCCTTTGCTGGCGCTGGAAGCCAGATGGAGCCAGTCACTGCGCTAACGCTGTGCCGGGCCCTGCGGAAGGCTCCGGGGAAGGCGGGGGCTGCTCCCCCCGCGGGTCCCCTCGGGGCCGAGCGCGGTGTGTGACCCTGCCGAGGGCTGCGGGGCTGGAGGGGAGCTGACAACAAACAGCGGCATCGGCCCGGTGGGCTGCGGGCTACAAATATTGCACCTGTTTCCCCTTGAACTCCTGTGGATTTGGGAGCGTTTCTCCATCTTTGTGCTGCATCCCAGGGGAGAGGTCGGTACCTTGGAGCACGAGGGTGACCCAGCCGCCACAGCTGCTGTGGTTAAGGCGTCCTTGACAGGAAGAGTGACAAGCCCTCGGTACAGAGCTGGCCTTTGGTGGGGTTAACAAAACACAGACTTTCTGTTTGGTTTTACTCTGGAGCAGGGATGGAGATTTGGGGCTGCAGTGACACCTAAAAACTCATTTCTCAGCCCAAAATTGCTTTTTGTGGTGTGGACCAGGACAAAATTTGCTTCATATTCCCAAACCATGGGGAAAGTGGGCACTGTCATTCCTGGTGCCCATAGGACACCTGCCACCAAGGTGGGTTTGCATAAATAATGCCATATTTATGGATGTTAATTGTCCTCTGCCACGTGAAATGGGCACCCTGAGGATCAGGAAGAACCTGGCTGTGCCACCGTGGTGGCACGGGCTGTTTGCCCTCCTAAATTAGGTGTCCTGGGGTCTGGGACAGCCTGAGTGCCCATCCTTGGGGTGTCCCTGTGGGGCTGAGACCCCTCAGGACCCAGCATGTGCCCAGGGAGTGGAGCTGCTGCTCAGCTCCCCCATGTGCTGAGCCCCCTCCGCCGTGGGCAGGGTGTGAATTTGGCTTTCAGCTCCTGGGTGGGTGTGAAGAGACTGTGAATTCTCATCAGCACTTTCATTACCTTAATAAAATTACTTCAGGTCTGTTAAGTTCTTTCGAAGAAAAATAAGCCCTAATTGGACGTTCTGTTGGCTTCTCCTTCCCCAGAGCCCCTGGAACGTTCAGTCCCTGGGTATCACATCCATGGACCTTCATTCAATCCCCCTCGAGGGGCTTCTCCAGCAGCCTGGACCAGGTGAGGAGTTTTGCTTGGCATGGAGCTTCTGTCAGGATGGCCCCTCTCCCTCTCATCCTCTTGGCTCTGACAGATCCAGAAGAGTTATTCAGAGCTGTGGTCTTTTTTGAACATTAATTGTCAAAGCTTTTCTTCTTTAAAAGACAGATTCTTACCTAAACTCACCCACTCTACAGAAATAGCAGCGATAATAAGCCTGAAATGAGGAGATTAAGAACTGGAATTCATTTTAGAATCATAGAATCATCAACTAGTTTGAGTTGGAAGGGACCTTTAAAGGTCATCTAGTCCATCTAGTTCTACCCCTGTTCAGGGTTTTCCAGCACTATCCACCATGCTCTACACTCCCTTTTACCCTCACTCTTACCTTGGAGACTCTTCAAGTGCTTTTAGCTTTGCACACACTTGGGATTTGTCCTATTCCAGCCTAGCTGGTCCCAATTTGGGGCCAGCAGCACTGTGTAGACCAGCACAACCCAGTTTTTGCACTGTCTGGGCTAATCTGGGCTGGTTTCAGTGCATGCTTTGCTTTGAAGTTTAGATTTTGTCCACACAGTGTCTCTGATGTGAAGGGGTAAACTGGGAAAGGTCTTTTCTGTCACCAGCTTCAGCTTGATCACAGCTCCGAGATCCTGGGACCTTTTGGGTGATTCACTGACACGAGAGGTACAAGGACTGCAGAGATCAAGGGAAAGTTGCCCAGAAGCAAGTTAGATGCTCCTGGATGGTTTGGAGCAGATGGTAGTGTTAATGGGTTAATTAATGGGTTAATCAGATCATAGAGTCATGGAATGGTTTGGGTTGGAAGGGACCATAAAGCCCATCTTGTTCCACCCCCTGCCATGGGCAGGGACACCTTCCACTAGCCCAGGTTGCTCCAAGCCCCGTCCAACCTGGCCTTGGACACTTCCAGGGATGGGGCAGCCACAGCTTCTCTGGGCAACCTGTGCCAGGGCCTCCCCACCCTCACAGGGAAGGATTTCTCCCCAGTATCCCATCTAACCCTGCCCTCGGGCAGAAGGAAGCCATTCCTCTTGTCCTGGCACAATCTGTCCATGGAAGAAGTTGCTCTCCCTCTTATTTTATCAGCCCCCTTTAAGTACTGGAAGATCCCTGCCCTAGAGATGGAGGCCACCCCTACAGCCAGGTTTGGGAATGGTCCATAAGAGTGTGGTACCTCCAAAATGGCAATATTGCTTCGCTGGGGGTGTTTCCTGAGCTGCTTATTCCAGTATCTGTTGTGAGCTGACTTGGGAATACAAAAGCCTCCCCAGAAGTTTCATTTCCTTCCCTCTAACAGCTCCCAGGGTGGCTGGAATTATTGGTTCCACCTTAAAATCGAGGTGGATGCCACACCCTCCAGTAACCAAAGTTGATAGCAACAGTGCTGGACCTCCAGGGAGAAGTTCCTTAGAGATCCTTAGATCCTTCCTTTGCTTTTCAGTTGCTGCCTGCCCCACACCGTGCTGAGATCTCGGCCTCTGAGCACATGGATCTTGGAATTGTTGCAGAGAATGAGAAGGTGAGTGCTGTGACAGAGCATGTGCAGCACCTTGCTAATGAAAAATATAAGTGTGAAGGTCTGCAGCCCCTTCCCAGGTGATGAAAGAGGCTCTGCCAAGGAAATCCTCACCACAGGAGGAAAATGGCAGCTGAAAATCCCATCTAGAATCTGTTCAGGCTCTGAAAAGCTGAGCTCTTCCAGCAGCATGTGGTGGGTGAGTGGCAGGGGGAGGAGGGCTCGGCTGGCACCCGCTGTGGGAGCTGCTCTGTGTCTCCAGGTGCAGCTGCAGGATGGGAACGATGGGATGTACCAGCCTGGAGACTCCCAGGAGGGGATGGGGAAGCTGGCTAGCTCCAAGACAGATTTCCCAGCCAGGGTGCTCCTCAGTGAAGAGGAAAAACTGAAGGTAAAACTTTGAGAGTTGGCGAGAACTGAGCTGTGAGGCTGTAAGAGGTCTGTAGATCCACAGTAGGAAATCTGGGGGGGAATTCCTCCTTCTAGAGGGATGTGTGTTGTGCTTAAACATCATGTTGGCCTCAGAATCCATCCATGGCTTTAATTAGGTCCTTCCTGCTCCTAGATTTCCAAGGACCTCGTCGATCTCCAGATAGAGACCAACAAAATGAAGGAGCAGTACGAGACGGAGAACTTTGAACTGAAAAATATGGTATCCAGAAGTTTGGAATAGCCGATTTCTGCCCTGCCAATGCCTTTATCCGGCAGTCCAGCTCCTTATACACCCACCTTTGCTTTGCTTGGCATATTCTCTTGGCTCTGCCTAGAGCTACATTCCCCCCTGACATCCCAGATATCATGAAACTCCCATGAAACTCATCTCCCTGTGACTGCTCCTGGTCTCTGCCACAGTCTAATCCTGCTGACTTCACCCTTCAGATACTGGCCCTGGAGAACCGTGTGCGGGAGCTGGAGCTGTGCAGTGAGAAGGTGACGGGGGAGCGAGATTCCCTGCGGGAACGCCTGCGAGCCCTGGAGAGCGCTCGGAAGGAGCTGGCACAGGAGTACATCATTCTGAAAAGCAACTACCTGGCCCTTGGGAAAGAGCTGGACCAGGAGGTGAGACAGACTCCAGTGCTCATCCCGGTGTTCCCGGCTCCGTCTCACGTTCCTCTGATGTACAGGCAGCTTGGTGGCTTTGGGTTGTGTATTGTGTCACAGCTCAGCTCCAGTGAGTCTTGTTTACAGAATTAGGGAATGGCTTGAGCTGAAGGGGCCTCTTAAAGGCCACCCAACTCTCCCCCCCTGCCATGGGCAGGGACACCTTCCACTAGCCCAGGTTGCTCCAAGCCCTGTCCAACCTGGCCTTGGACACTTCCAGGGATGGGGCAGTCACAGCTTCTCTGGGCAACCTGTGCCAGGGCCTCACCGCCCTCACAGGGAAGAATTCCTTCCCAATATCCCATCTAACCCTGCCCTCTGGCAGTGGGAAGCCATTCCCCCTTGGCCTGTCCCTCCATCCCCTGTCCCAAGTCCCTCTCCAGCTCTCCTGGAGCCCCTTTAGGCCCTGGAATGGGCTCTCAGGTCTCCCTGGAGCCTTCTCTTCTCCAGGTGAACACCCCCAGCTCTCCCAGCCTGGCTCCAGAGCAGAGGGGCTCCAGCCCTTGGAGCATCTCCATGAGCTCCTCTGGACTCTCTCCAACAGCTCCACGTCCTTGTGCTGTTGGTTCCCCCATATCTGGAGGCAGCTCTGCAGGGGGGTCTCACCTGAGGGGGCAGAGGGGCAGAATCCCCCCCTCCCCTGCTGCCCACGCTGTGGGATCAGCCCAGGGCACACGGCCGGGGCAGGTCCAGCCCCTCAGCGGTGACACGGCCCTGGGTTTGTTTGCAGAGCCGGGGGTTTGCTGTCACACCTCCCCCTCCTCGCGGGGTCTGTGGGACCCGCTCTGCGCAGCGGGGTCGGCGCTGAGCCCACGCTGACCCGTGTGATCCCGGCCCCGCCGGCACAGCCTCCCCGCTCCGGGCCGGCCCCATCCCTGTTCCCGGGGGTCACGGCGGGGCTGGCCCGGGCACACGGGGCCGCTCCCCCCGCGCTGCCAGCGCGCTTTGTTTCCCTTTTTTCTGCTTGGCTTGCGCGGGCTGCACGGGAACGGATTGGAGCCGCTCTCTTTTCGGGCGGCGGCGGGAAGGGGCCTGGGAGCTTTTAGGCAGACAGCTTCATAAAAACACTGAATTCAAGCAAGTTTCTGATGGTTCCTTAGAAGATAGTCACCTTCCCGGCGACTGTTAGCTTAGCAATTATTAACCAGAGTCTTTCGGACCTGGATTTGTGTATTTCTTTGGCAAGAACAGCTACTTCAATAGCCCTTCCTCTCTCCCCTCCCTCTCCTCTCTCCTGCTTCTTCTCCTTTTTAAATTGGGTGGAATGACTGACACCCTCCTGCCTCGCTCCCTCCCTCCCCCAGCAGATAGTTTCGCTGGTTCAGCTAAATGACCTGGTTTTCCATGCCGGGCTGTGGTGGGAAGACGTGGAGCTGGGACCAGGCACGTTTGTTTGGTCCGGTCTGTCTGGATGGTCTGCAAAGCTCTGGTGGAGGAGGATACAGGATCATGATCATGCCGTGGGTTAGTGAGCTGATCATCTGTCTTCCATAAGCTGAGAAATGGGAATTTCTTACAAGGAGGCAAGCTCAGCTCTCAGAGGGGGGTGAAGCCACCCTGTCATCCCACTGGAGCACGAGGCAGAGCTGCTCTGCTCCCTCCTCATGGAGGAATAGCTCCATGTTCACTCTCAGCTGCTCCTTGTCCCCAAGGGGGTGCAGTATGTTTATCAAAAATTGGATTTTTCAGGCAGCTGACATCTCTAAATGATGGGTTTAGCGAGTTAGAGGTAATAACACACTGTTTTCACATGGATCCTGGAATGTTTCAGAGGGTGAAAACACGTGGACTCAGTTCTGTGCCTGGATAGCATCCTGAAGAATTATAGAATCATGGAATGGCCTGGGTTGGAAGGGACCTTAAAGCCCATCTTGTTCTGCCCTTTGCCATGGGCAGGGACACTTTCACTAGACCAGGTCGTTCCCAGAAGCAGTGAAGCATGGCCCAGAAGCCAGAGGTGAATTCCTTGGATGTAATCCATATGCTGAGGGGTTTACCCTCAGCTTGGCTCTGACTACCAGATATCCCTGCCTGAAGCCAGAAAGGCTCCGACTTGGCAGGCTGGGACTTGTCGCGACATGGGCCTCTTGCTCATTATTTTCCCAGTGCGGACTTTCCCAAAGGAAATGGGAAAAGCAGCCTGCGGTTCTGTCCCCTCCCCTTCCCCGGCGCTCTTCTGGGAAGACAATGAACCTTTTACACATTCCCAATTACAAGTGCTACTTGTGACCTTGCCAATATGTTGTCATGGCTGCTTGGCGCAGAAGCAGCTCCGCGAACTCATTCACGGCCCCTTGGCCGGGAACAGTTGGAGCCGCTGAATTGTCGGGCGCCCTTTGTGCTGGATTCACACACCGCCCCGGGGCTGTCCCGGCCGCAGAGCCGGCCTTGCCCAGCCCTTGGGAAGCGCCTTGCAGAAGGTGCCAGTCAGGCACTTGGTGCCTGTTTTCTGACTCGCTGTAAATTCTTCCTTTTCAAGGCTCTGACCTTTCCTAGCTCCCAGTTTCCTTCTCCCTTTGTCCCGCGGCTGCGGCGGCGCTCGGCGGAGGGGACCCAGTGCCTGCGAGCCGGGTTCCACGCCGGGGTTTTCTCTGGAGCCGGGCCAGGCTCGGGAGCTCAGCGAAGCCCAGCTCAAACCCGGGACTGCCTCTTTTTTTGGCTAAACCGGTAGCTGTGCCCCCTTTCCGACCGAATTGTCGGGGCTGACAGCTGCAGATGGATCGCTCTGGGCTGGGGAACAAGCGGGCTGGCTCTGCGGAGCTGTCAGGTTTCACAGCTGTATATCTCACCTCTTTGTCAGCCTCTTTTCTCCTCGCTCTCCCCCAGCCCACCCTGTGCTATCTTTTGATAAGCTATTCTCTCCACGGATGACTCAGATGACCTCTGCCTCCCATCCTCCCGATTCACTGCCATGGTAACAATTACTCAAGCTTGTCCCCAGTCATAAACCCCATCAAAGCTTTGTTATCTACACAGAAACCCTCCCGGGAGACATGAATTCCCCCAGTGTTCCTTCCAGATCACCTGTAACAGAGCTTTTCTCATTCAGATCCTCTTCTGGAAATGTGTCACTTCACACCAGCACTGCTTTGAATCTTGCTGCCTACACGGAGCTGTGGGCTGGCTGCTGCTGGGGGATGCATCCCAACCAAACTGGGATTGTGGCAGCAGGGATGGACAGAAGGATGGAGATTTGGCCCTTCTCTTGTATTATGGAGTCCAGCACTGTTCAAAGCTGTTCCACGGGGAAAGACGTTCCAGAGGTGTTGGGAAGCTGCATGGAGGGTGCAGGGTTGGAGTGAGGAGAGAACTGGAGGCCAGGAGAGGTGATGGCAGAGCTGTGCCCAGGGCTGGCACTGGGATCTGGATCTGAATGTGAGAGAGAGACAGGCAGAGGGATAAGGTTCCATGGGAATAACCCTGCTGTCTGGAAATGCATTTCCATGAGAACTAGAAAATCACTCGTATCTTTGGACCGGTGGAGATAAGACCATAGGAGAGAGAACTAAAATTAAAACTTGCTTTTGGGAGGGCACAGGGGTGCCTACCTTGTGCACACACCAGGAGCAGCAGGTGAGGAGGATTTTCTTTCCTTCTTTTTTGATCTGGCAGGTCAGGAGGAATGAAGAGCTCACCCAAGAGCTCCTCAACCTGGCCAAAGGCAGGAACACCCTTCCTGGCACAGAGAGCACCCACCCGCCTGCCATGGCCCATCAATCCTCTGCAGAGCTGGAAAGAGTGAGGGGGAAGGTAAGGAACTCTCTGCCCTTCCACCAGCTCCTTGGACAACAAGGATCTAACAGGCTCTTCTGTCTCTCCTAAAACCAGCCTGAAGATGTGGTTGCCTCTGGACACGAGCGGCAGGAGCTGGAGAGAAACGTGAGCGTGTGGGGTCTGCTGCTGGATCCTTGGGAAACAGAGGGGGGGATTGATTCCAGCTGTGGCTGGCACCTCCTTGTGCTAACTTGAGTTTTGTGGATCAGCTGATGCCTTGATTAATTTTAAATTATTTTTTAAGCTGTGCAGTTGCCAAATGAGGCTGGGGTAACTCCAGATGTGCAGGCAGAGCTGAGGGAGGGCACAGGTGGTGCCCTCGGTCCGTGCCCGGTCAGGGTGAACACAGGCAGGAGTTTAAAACCCAACAGGTGCAGAGGACACTTATTTTCTTCTTGCTCATACTTGAGAAAGCTGGGGGTGATGAAGCACCCGAAACAGAGCAGGGAGATGCTCTCAGCCTCCTCCCCATCTGCAGTCCCTGCAAAACCGCCACCAGCTCCTGCTGGGAATGTGGCTCTCAACGTGAGAATTTCCCTTGGGAGAGCGACACGTGTGCACCTCCACGTGCCCTGTCTGCAGATCAGACTCCATTTCTGGTGTGCTACAGGGCACCAGTCCCTTCCAGTTAAACCAGTCCTTTCCCCAGCATGTCACCGCTCACTGGAGCCTCTCCTCACTTCATCCTCTCTTTGCTCAGCCTTCTGCCTCATCTTCCTCTTTGTTTGTCCCTCAGTTGCTTGGAAACCAGGATCACATAAAAGTGGAGCTTGAAAAACTGAAGAAAACCCACGACTGGCAGCAGAAGCTGGAGGAGCGAGTGTAAGTGTTGGGGGCACCTTCTGCTTGGCTGGGCATTTATGGGCTTCACTGCAGCTGGATTTGATCCATGGGAGCAGGAGAAGGAGGCACGTAGTCTCTGGTGGGGTACAAGGTGGGAATGATGATTCACCCTTGGAAGAAGTGAGACCTGGAAGGAAAACCTGATGTTTTCAAGGCTCTTCAAAGAGTCAGCTGCCTGCTTAAAGTTGGTGGTGTTTAGGGACACCTTGAAAATCCACATTATGTAAAACACAGCAAATGTGTGACAGCCCAGAGATGAATCCAGCCCCAGCCCTTACCCCCACAGTGGGTCTTCCATTGTCATGGGATGTGGTTGATGTCCTGGGAAAGGCTGCCCCAGCAGGGATGCTGCAGGAGTAGACCCTGTGCCTGGGGAAGACATTCACCTTTGATGGGGAGAGTTCTTTGGTGCTGGTTGATGCACATCTGGGGGATGGCAGCTGCTGCTGGGAGATTTCTGTCATCCCAGTGATTTCCTTCCCCAAGCTGGCTGTGTTGGACCTACAGAGACTCCCAGAATGGTTTGGGTTGGAAGGGACCTTAAACATCATCTCATTCCACCCCCCTGCCACCTTCCACTAGACCAGGCTGCTCCCAGCCCCATCCAACCTGGCCTTGAACACTTCCAGGGATGGGGCAGAAGTTTGAGGGGGTTAAAATATAACACATTTTCTTCCTGTGTGTCCAGGCTGGGGCTGGGGAAGGAGCTGCAGGAGGCAAAGGGAGCGATCGGGGACACGCAGCGCAGGCTGGTGGAGCAGTCAGCGGTGAGGACAGGCTCCCTTCCCCTGCTCCTCCTGCGAGCCATGTGCTATTCCTGAGCTTCCAGGGGGGCATGCCTTGTATCCAGGTACTCTGACACCTCTTCCTCTCCAGGGAGCTTTTCCCACCAAGGTTCTCCTCCCTGTGCAGTTTCCTTCCGCACGTGGTGGAAGGTGCTGCTTGCTCAGGTGGTGGGAGGAATTTTGTTCACTGATTTTTAGAAAGAGTTGGTGGAATCACCGGGGTGGGGAGGTGGCAAATGACAGAAGGTAGCAGGGGAATTGAGGCTATAAACATTTCCATTGGACTTCTCTGAAAACTCAGGACCTTCCCAGCTCTAGCAAAGCTGAGTATCTGGAAAGGAAATCTCCAGTGTATTATGGAGCTTCTCAGTTCCCCCTCCTTGGCTGGAGGGCAGCAGTTTCTTTGTTTGTTGTGCCCAGGTGCTGCTCACGTCCCAGAGCCAGCTGCAGGAGGTGGAGGCAGAGAACTCCCGGCTGCAGCTCCGGCTGAAGGAGCTGAACGAGGAATATCGCTCCCGGCTGGCGCGGTACATCAGGGACGTGGCGGTGGGTACCCCCAGCCCTGGGGGCTCTGCTGGCCTGGGGAGTATCACAGAATCATGGAATATCCTGAGCTGGAAGGGACCCCTAAGGATCATGAGTCAACTCCTGGTCCTGCCCAGGACACCCCAACAATCCCACCCATCCCTGAGAGCGTTGTCCAAACCCTCCTGGAGCTCTGGCAGCCTTGGTGCTGTGCCCACTGCCCTGGGGAGCCTGGTCAGTGCCCAACCACCCCCTGGGGGAAGAACCTTTTCCTGAGATCCAGCCTAACCCTGCCCTGACACAACTCCAGCTGTTCCCTCAGATCTCTCCATGCTGGCTGCCCTCCTCTTGCAGGCTGCTGCAAATAAATAAGACTAAATAAGTGAATAAGAGAATCTTTCAATCCCAGTTATCTGACCAAGAGAAATCCCAGCAGAAACTCACAGATCATTTTGCAGGGCTATACAGGAAAACTGGGTGCAGAGGGAGGCTGACTTAGAGTCATAGAATGGGTTAGGTTGGAAGGGACCTTAAAGATCATCTCATTCCACTTCCTGCCATGGGCAGGGACACCTTCCACTAGCCCAGGTTGCTCCAAGCCCCGTTCAACCTGGCCTTGGACACTTCCAGGGATGGGGCAGCCACAGCTTCTCTGGCCAACCTGTGCCAGGGCCTCACCACCCCCACAGCCAACAATTCCTTCCCAATATCCCACCCAACCCTGCCCTCTGGCAGCAGGAAACCATTCCCCCTCGATTCCTCTGTCTGTGCATTTACAGAACTACATGGACAGCAAATCCAGCCACATGACAGGACACAGCAAAGCCCCAGCTGATCATGCTGCCATGAAGCACTTTGTGGACAACATGCTGAAGGATATCCGGGCTTCCTACAAGTCTCGGGAGGAGCAGCTGGCACGGGCAGCACGTGGGTACAAGAAACGCATGAAGGACCTGGTGAAGAAGCACGAGAACCTGCTGATTGCCTATGGGTAAGGATCTGACAGGCTCTGGGCCACCTCTGCCTTCAGGACCAAGTGAAGTGCCCCATAGCACCCACCCCACTGTCCTAGAGGGAGGCAAATGGGGCTCCCAGGGGGAGCAGGGGATGTGGAGTGCACATTCTCCCTGCTCCTGACAATCCAGGATCGAGGTGCCTCCAGCTGCACGTCAGGGTGCTCTGGACATCATGGAGCTGCTTTGCACATATGTTTCTCCCACATAAAATTCAGGGTGAGAGATGGATCCCACGCTGGATGGTGTGGAAATGCAGAGGTACCACAAATAGCTCCACCTCCCAGCCCGTCCCTGCAGTGCTTTCAGCTCCACTCCACAGCTCTCTCAGCAGCTTGGGCTGTGGGAAGCAGCAGAAATACTTGTGGTATAAAAGCTACAAATAGCTCTAGGACAAGCTCCCCTCAGAAACTCTCCCAGGAATGCTCCCACTTATCCTTTGCAGGTGGCCAGAAACCAGCAGGTCCCAAGGGAATGGTACCTCCAGGAGCAGCAGAACTGCTCAGTGTTGTCACCCAAAGAAACAACCAGGGACTGACCCCTCTGGCACATTACAGGCTCCAGCGAGAGCAGATCCGGTCCCTGGGGAGCAGTGCTATGGACTGTGGCCCTGCTGAGCTCCACTTCTCCATCTCGGACCCAGAGCTGCTCACAAACACCACCCGGGAGCTGAACCGGCTGCGGGAGGAAAAGGCAAAGCTGGAGATGCAGCTCCAGGAACTGCAAAAGGTGGAGGCTGGGCAGGGAAACTGGGGGTGGTGAGGAGAGTTAAGGTGACACTGAGCCCCTTTCTTAGGTGTTCACAGGATTGTTTAGGTTGGGAAAGCCCTCCAAAATCATCAGGTTCAGCCATTCCCCCAGCACTGCCAAGGCCACCACCAAACCATGTTACTGGGTGCCACATCCACCCTCTCCCTGAGGATTTGCTGTGCCCGTGGCACAGGCAGGGAATATTCCAATCATCTCCCAGTCACAGAACCATAGAATCCCAGAATGGCTTGGGTTAGAAAAGACCTTAAAAGCTCATCTTGTTCCACCTTCCCACCACAGGCAGGGACACCTTCCACTAGCCCAGATTGCTCCAAGCCCCATCCAACCTGGCCTTGGACACTTCCAGGGATGGGAGGAACATCTCTTAATTTGCATTGGATGCATTTATTTAAAAATTCAGAGGATGGGAGACCTAAAACCTTAAGATTCTACAGCACATCATTTCCTTGCCAGGGCACTGGTGGCTGTGGGAGTGCTGGGGTACGTTGTGCCCCTTCAAAGGGGGCTTGTAAAAAGGGGGGAGAGTGACTTTTACAGGGCAGAGATTGATAGGACAAGAGGAACAGATTTAAACTAAAAGAGAAGAGATTTAGATTGGATGTTAGGAAGAAATTCTTCCCTGTGAGGGTGGGGAGGCCCTGGCACAGGTTGCCCAGAGAAGCTGTGGCTGCCCCATCCCTGGAAGTGTCCAAGGCCAGGTTGGACGGGGCTTGGAACAACTTGGTCTAGTGAGAGGTGTCCCTGCCCATGGCAGGAGGTGGAACAAGATGAACTTTGAGGTCCCTTGGAACGCAGCCCGTTCCATGACATGATTTCTACAAAGGTGGCAGGATCTGGGATTGCAGTGGTTGAATGCTTACAGGAATCCTGCTCTTCTTTTGCCTCCAGAAAAGACTGAAAGAAGCCTCTGCCTTTCCACTGCCTCCAGAGCAGTAAGTGCTGTTTGTTTCAGAGGATATCTGTCATTCCAAATTCTCCTTAATGTGTGCATTGAGGAATCTCTTTTGCTTACTTGGAGGCAGCAATAAATAGGGAGAAAGGGAGCTTTTGGGCCCGCTCTGGGAAGAACAGCTGGCTGTCCCCTCAGCACAGCCCTTCCCGGGGGGAGGAGAGTTGGTCATTTGGGCCTTGATCCAAGAAAGCTCTTAAGCATATATTTGATTTAATCCTGTTTATAGTCCCACTGACCTCTTTAGAAGCTGAAATTAAGCATATGCCCAAGTGCTTTGGTGGATCACAACCTGAGAAAGGGCTATGGAACACCACCAGTTTGGGATGGTCCTGTTTCTCCTCCCTCCCAGGCTGGAACCCTTCGGTGCCACTGTGCTGATGCCTCCCTGGCTTTCCAACAAGCTCTGGATTTGCTCATTTTTGATGAGTCTTTTCCCCCTGCTCTGTTTTTCTGCTGAAACCCGAACAGCTATAGCTGTGGAGAGCAGGAACAAAGCGTAGGAGAAACCTAAGCTGGGATTTTTCAGCCTTTTAAGATGTGGTCACCCAGAAAACGTGTCAGGTATTCCATTAGCTGGGTGCCAGCACCAAGGAGTGGGTCAGTGCCAGAGCTCCTGGGCTCTGGAAGGGTCTCAGGCACAAGCTTGAGATTCAAACAGCCTCTGCCATGCTTTCCACACTGAAAATAGAAGCAGTCCTTGAGTAGATGCATTAATTTTATCAGACTCACCACAGGAGCAAGACATGGAAAATCCAGAGTCTGAATTTTAGTGATGCATCTTCTTTAGGTTTTTTAACTGTCAAGAGACCAAACTTCAAACTGTGATGGGTTTATCCATGCTGTTACCTTGCCCCTCCAGCTAGTGACATGAATCCCAGTGTTCCCACAGCACTTCAGCCCTAGTTCCTGCTTCTTGCTTTTATCATTAAATCACAGAATAGTTGGGGTTGAAAGGGACCATCTCATTCCACCCCCCCATGCCATGGAGGCTTATCAGCTGCATGGACTCCCTGTTTATTGTCCCCTTCTCTTCTCACTCCCATGGAATCCCAGCCGGGATCTCCCTGGGCTGGGAAGCTGCAGCCACCGGAGCCGCTGGGAGCACAATGCATTCCTCCCCTCACACAGCCCAAATTCCCCGAGCATCAGATGTGACCTGTTATTTTCCTCCCTCAGACTGGGAGGCAGTGGGAAGGGCTTTCCCACGCCGGGCTGAGCAGACAGCTCACCTATCGTGCTCGCTGACCAGAACGGGCCGTGCTCCCCGCGCCAGCCTCGGGCATTGATGGCTCTCTGTTCCCACCAAGCTCAGCCCTGCAGTGCCGGGTTCTGGGCTCCTTCTGCACAGAGGCCTCCGACGAGCGAGTGATGATGTGATTTGGAACAGACCCAGCTGCCCTGGTGGGCAATCCCAGGCTGGCAGAAGGGCTGTGACTCCCGTGCCTGGGCATGGGATGGTGCCACATACCCTGAAGAGGTTTGGGCACTGGGAGAGGAAAGGTTCAAGCACTGGGGTTCATGGTGGGATGGGCATGAGTTGTGTGGAGCTGTGTGACCTGTGGGTGGGCTGGATTTGATATCTGGGCATGATCCAAATATGCTTTTCTCTCGTAGGCAGCTGGATGAGGAGGGCTGGGCAGAGGTCAGGAAGCAGCTCCGGGAATTCACACACAACACCCAGGTAAAAGTCTGGAACAGCCTGTTGGAGTAAAAGCTTATCCCTCACCCACGTGGCAAAGATGTGCTGCCCTGGGGCCGATGTGCTGCTCCAGGCTGGAGGGGGGAAACTTTCACAGAATCACAGAATATCTCGAGCTGGAAGGGATCCACAAGGATCATCCAGTCCAACTCCTGGCCCTACACAGACACCCCAGCAATCCCACCCTGTCCCTGAGAGCATTGTCCAAACAGTCCTTGAGGTCTGGCAGCCTTGGGGCCGTGATGACCACTGCCCTGGGGACCACCTTCCATGGAGCCTGGCTGTGGCTTTGGCCTCAGCCCATCAAGTGATGCTGACAGGTCCCAGCGGGTGATGTCTCAAGGCTCTACTGTCCCTGCTGCCAAAGGAAGGAGAGCAGCCCCTCATGGCTCCTGCCTATGTTTCAGAACAAGCCTCTTGGCATCTCTATAACCAACTGGGGGTGCCCGTCCCCTGAGCTGGCACTGCTGAGGCACCTCCAGTCCTGGGGTCAGTTTTAGGCCCTCCATGACAAAAAGGACACTGAGGGGTTGGAGCGTGTCCAGGGAAGGGAACGGAGCTGGGGAAGGGGCTGGAGCAGCAGGAGTGGCTGAGGAAGTGGGGGGGGCTCAGCCTGGAGAAAAGGAGGCTCAGGGGGGACCTTCTGGCTCTGCAACTCCCTGACAGGAGGGGGGAGCCAGGGGGGGTCGGGCTCTGCTCCCAGGGAACAAGGGACAGGACAAGAGGAAACGGCCTCAAGTTGTACCAGGGGAGGTTTAGATGGATACTGGGAAAATTTCTTCAGAGAAAGGATGGTCAAGCCTGTCACAGCTGCCCAGGGCAGAGGTGGAGTCCCAATTCCTAGAGAGATTTAAAAGCCATATGGATGTGGCACCTGGGGATGTGGGTTAGTGGTGGCCTTGGCAGTGCTGGGGAAGTGGTTGGATTTGATGATTTTAGAGGGCTTTTCCAACCTACATGATTCCGTTGATTCCATGATTCTGTTTGACCTGGTTCAAGCCTAGGCTGAATCTGCATCAGCTTCCCAGTCTGGTTCCCCCTGGGTGCAAAGATATTTGCTTTCATGTCGTGCCTTTCCCTGTCCACAGTGACCTGAGGAAGGGCTCCACCATTACCTGGGGATGTTGAAAGCCAAACACCTACATTGGGTGTATTTTTGTGGCCAAAAAACCAGAGCTGCCGTGGCTGAGAGGCCAGAGCGATGGGGAAGTGGTTGGAAGGGCCTGGCAGAGAGGGACTGAGCAACTTCACTCCAATCTCACAGACCTCCCTGTTTTCTCCATGATTTCTCCACGTTTCTTTGCCCCTCCAGGAGGATCTGGAGCAGGAGAGGAGCCAGCTGCTGACTCGGGCTGTCGTGGCAGAGGAGCAGGTGTTGGAGCTGCAGGAGTACATAGATCAGCATCTTGCCAGGTGAGACAGTGGGATCCCCCTGCTCTGCCCTGTGCTCCCAGTTTATCTCCAGGCTCATTGCCAGGGACATCATGGTGCCCACCACGCTGTCAGTGTCCACTGCTGGCACTGCCACAGCACTGCCAGCATGGCTGATGTCCTGCTGCACCTCCAGCTGTGCAGGCAGCTGCCACCAGCCCTTGTTCCACAGAGCAGGGACACACACATGCCCAGCCATGTCTCCTTCCTTCCCTGCTCACCCATCCTTTGGAGGAATCATAGAATCATGGAATGGTTTGGATTGGAAGGGACCTTAAAACCCATCCAGTTCCACCTTCCTGCCACTGCAGGGACACCTTCCACCAGCCCAGGTTGCTCCAAGCCCCATCCAACCTGGCCTTGGACACTTCCAGGGATGGGGCAGCCACAGCTTCTCTGGGCAACCTGTGCCAGGGCCTCACCACCCTCACAGAGAAGGATTCCTTCCCATCTAACCCTGCCCTCTGGCAGTGGGAAGCCATTCCCCCTTGTCCTGTCACTCTAGGCCCTTGTTCAAAGTCCCTCTCCAGTTCCCTTGGAGCCCCTTTAGGCATTGGGAGGGGCTCTAAGGTCTCCTTGGAGCCTTCACAAGGGGCTAAGAGGGGGTTCCCTAAAATATGAAGCCTCCCAGCAGCCCCTGATCCATGTTCCTCTCTCCCTGGCTCATCCTGCCCCGGAGCAGGAGAGGAGCTGCTGGGGCAGGGAAGGGTGAGGACAAGCAGGGCCTGTCTGTCAGACCATGATCCACCTTTCCTGCCGTGACTCCCCACCTGGGAACTCAGGTCAGGCTCTGCAGAGCCCACGAACACCTTTGAAATGAAAGGCTGTGGGTTCCTACTCGCCAGGCACAGCTCCTGGCATGGCTCAGTGCCCGGGGACTGTGCCTGCACTGTCCTGCTTCCCACTGCAGGTACAAGCAGGAGATCCTGCGGCTCAGGAACGCTGAGGGCAGCGAGGGGCCACGTGTGCTCAGTGCCAGGGCAGCTGCTGCTCCCCCCCTGCCCAGAGCCAGCACTGTCAGCCATGATCCATAGCACTCCGTGAGGAGCACCACCAACACAGGGAAGAGCGGGATTCAAAGCAGGAGGTTTGTGTTCTATGGACTGCCAGGAAAGTATCCTGCCCAGGCCGGGAGCTGGGAGCAGCGAGGGAAAGCACGTGGGTGTTCCCGTCTCGGGTTCACAGGACTAAAATGAGACAAGACAACTGTGTCTCATCTTTCCTCGTCTATCCCTGGGCTGCAGGAATTCTGCTGTTCCCTGAGCACATCACGGACACGGGGTCAGGTTCCCAGGCAGCTCTTTAATGCCGGGCTGCAGGGACAGGTTCCTGTTCCTGCTGTAACATTTCTGCTGGGTGAGACCTGGACCAGAGCCCAAGGGCTGCTCCTGCCTCGTTCCCCTCCCCTCCCTCCCAGCTCCCGTGAGACGGAGCCAAGGCTGGCTCAAGGCACTCTGAGGATGGACAAAGGGATGAGCTGCTCTTTACTTGTGAGGGTGGGGAGGCCCTGGCACAGGTTGCCCAGAGAAGCTGTGGCTGCCCCATCCCTGGAAGTGTCCAAGGCCAGGTTGGACGGGGCTTGGAGCAACCTGGGCTAGTGGAAGGTGTCCCTGCCCATGGCAGGGGGGTTGGAACAAGGTGATCCTTAAGGTCCCTTCCTACCCAAACCATTCTATGATCCTAAGATTCTGTGGTGGGAAAACCCTTTTTTCTCTGTGTTTGAGTGGAAAATGGAATGTCACACAGATGAGAGGGCCAAGCTGATCCTTCAGGGAGGTGAGCTGGACACACTCCCTCCTGTGTTACCTTCAAAGGGACAGTGGAGCAAAGCCAGAGTCCAGGACCAAGGCATGCTCTGGCTCCAGGACTGTCCTGCAGCTCAAAGGCAAACCAAAAACCTCAAAGGAACAACCAACCAAAGATTTATTTTGAAAAATTAAATAAAGTAGTAAACATACAGAGGCACTGGAGCTTTAGTCCTTAAATCTTGTGTTAATCCCAGGACTTCTGGGTCTGAGTTTCTCCTCCCTTGCTTCTCCCAAACTCTTTGGAAAACTGAGTGACTGCCACCCTGCAAGTCCCCAGGACAAATCCTGGCCAAGCACTGCTGTCCTGAGCTGAGCCTAGGGCTGGAGAGGCTCTGACCCTTAATGCCAGGCTTAATGAGGCTGGTGTTATAGACTGAGCTTAACCAGGCTGCTGTCAGACTGGGCTCCCCTGGGCGCTGCTCTGCGCTGCTCGACGCACCTCCTTCATATCATAGGCCCAGACCTGCTCCAGCCCCTGCCCCAGGGTGCTGCTGGGAGTCCAGGACGGGAAGGGGAAGCGTCCAGACACCACCCGGGCCCCGTCGGGGAGTTCTGCCAGGAGCTTCGTGGCCAAGGGAGGTTTCTGGGGAGAGAAGAGCCAGGGCCAGGTAACCTTAGGACACGGTCAGGTAGTGGCAGTGCCACCAGGGATCACAGGGCAGCTTCTGGTGGGTCCCGAGCAGGGGCATCAAGCATTCAAAGCACAGGGCTGGTACTGGCCCTGTGTAAGGCTGGGACTAGGAGTAAGTGATGAGCAACAGGACAAGAAGAAACAGCCTCAAGTTGTGCCAGGGGCGGTTTAGATTGGATATTGAGAACATCTCTTCATGGAAAGGCTGGTCAGGCCCTGGCACAGCCGCCCAGGGCAGGGGTGGGGTCAACATCCCTGGAGCAGCCACGTGGATGTGGCACTTGGGGACATGGGTCAGTGGTGGCCTTGGCAGTGCTGGAGGAATGGTTGGATTGATGATCTCAGAGGGCTTTTCCAACCTTAACAATTCCATGGTTTCATAAATCCCGCTGCTGCTGCTGAGCACCAAATCACTCGCTCACAGAAATGCCCACTTGGCCTTATTCTGTCCCAGATCCTCTCTCTATTCCAAGAAAAGCCTCCTCGAGCTCCCCCTGAACAACTCAGGATGTGAGGGACCAACTTACCACGCTGGGGGCCAGGAACACAATCACATTGTTGCAGTCGGAAAGATCCACCTTAAAAGGGAAGGAAAAGGGGAATGAAAGAAGCAACAGGCACAGGGGAACAGGTGGAACCACCTAAGTGTCCAAGCCTTGTGGGTGATCTTCTGAACCTCGGAGGGTGTAAAGATGCCCCAAAACATGTGGGATGGGGACATGTGGGTGTGAAAGCAGCACTTATTGGAAAACACCTGCCTCCAGCACCATCCCAGAAACACATTCCCTGAGGGATTCTCTCCAGTCAGGCTGGGGGTACCTGATGTTAGCCTTAGAAGCTCGTCACCGTGTCAGCAGCACACAGACCTCTCCTCAAAGCTGCTCCACGAAGGAGCTCTGCCATCCCCCTGGAAAGTAGGGTGGTTTTCCACTTCCCTGGAGCGCGTGGGATGGGGAAGCAGTAAGCAGCCACCAGCAAAGCCAGCCTGGAGACGCAGACAGAACCCTGGCCCTGCCCTGGCACAGCCAGACCCTCAGGACACTGTTACCTTCCACAGATCTTCCTTCAAGAAGGAGACCTTCCCGTGGTACCCGGCCCTCCAGGCGCGGTAGTTGGCGAGACACAGCAGCCAGGGATTGAGCTCATAGCCCAGGGCTGGCCTCAGGCCCTGCTTGTAAGCCTCGACCACCTGGAGAGGGAAGAGAGGTGAAACCAAAGGATCTCAGTGTTGAGTCTGGGGGGTGATCCGAGGGGACAGGGGCTGTTGCCCAGCTCCACTCCCTCCCTCCAGCTGGCTCACAGGCAGGGTGACCTTGGTTCTCAGCACCTTCCAGAGCATGCATTCCCACCCTGCTCCCTGCATGTGATGTCTTCTAGGGCTGTCTAGGACCACATACAACTATCTAGGGCCACCTAGGACCACCTAAGGCCACCTAGGACTATCTAGGACCACCTAGGACAGTCTAGGACTATATAGGCGTATTTAGGACCACCTAGAGCTGTCTATGGCCATTTAGGACCATGTAGGGTCATCTAGGACCACCCAGGACCATTTAGGACCACCTAGTTCTGTCTTGGGACCATCCAGAACCACCCAGGACCCTCTGGAACCCCCTATAATTGTCCCATACCACAGCCAGGAGGACCACCCAGACCCACAGCCAGAAGTGGGGCAGCAGATGTGTGTAGGTCTCCCACCCACCCTCCCGGTGAGCACAGGCCCCCCTCCCTGCCCTCCTGCCCACCCTGGGCACCCCAAAGCCCCCTGACACCGCCCCCCCCGTGCCAGCCCTTACGAGCCGTCCATCTCCCGATCCCAGATCCACCGTCTTCCCCGCGCGTCCCCGCAGCAGTGCCAGGGCGTTGGCCACTTGCCGGGGGCTGGAGGGCTGGTAGGGCACCTGGGGGGCACAGGGGGGTCAGGGCGGGGGTCGGGGGGAGGTCGGTGATGGGGGCCGGGGGGTGCCGGGGTACCTGCAGCCGCAGGGGGACGCGGCGAAAGCCGGGCATCAGCACGAGCGCCCAGGTGGCCCAGGCGGCCGCCCCGCTGGCCACGGCCAGGGCCAGCAGCCCCCGCCCGCCCAGGGCCGGCCCGCCCCGCGACCAGCCCGGCTCCCAGCCCGGCTCCCCCGGCTCCCAGCCCGGCTCCCCCGGCTCCCAGCCCGGCTCCCCCGGCTCCATGGCCGCCGGAAGGGGAGGGGAGCGCGGCCGGGCCTTCCGCCGGGAGCGGCACCGGGAGCGGGGGGAGCGTGTGCGGGGCGGGAGCGGGGCTCGGGGGCACAGAGGGGGCAGCGCCGTGTGCGGAGTGAGCGGGGTGCGGATGGTGCGGGGCGGTGTGCGGGGGTGTGTGTGTGAGTGTATCTGTGTCTGTGTGTCTGTGTCTGTGTGTCTGTGTCTGTGTCTGTGTCTGTGTGTCTGTGTCTGTGTGTCTGTGTCTGTCTCTGTGTCTGTGTCTCTGTGTGTGTGTGACAATGTGTGTGTGTGTGACAGTGTGTCTGTGTGTCTGTGTGTAACAGTGTGTGTGTGTGTGACAGTGTGTGTCTCTCTGTGTGTGAGTGTGTGTGTGTGTGTGACAGTGTATGTGACTGTGTGTGTCTATGTGTGTGTGACTCTGTGTGTGTCTGTGTGTGTGTGACTGTGTGTCTGTGTGTGTGTGAGTGTGTCTGTGTGTGTGTGGTGTGTATGTCTGTGTGTGTCTCTGTGTGTGTGTGTCTCTCTGTTAGCGTGGCTGTGTGTCTTTGCACAGCTGTGCAGCTGTGTTTGTGCAGAGTTGTGTGTGTGTTTGTGCATGG